ATCACTAATAGTCACAGTATACATGGCAGCAAGAATAGCATCAAAGTCAAGGTCAAAGACAGCTACACCCGCCCTAGACAGCTCACTCCAGCGGGGGATCTCAGTGGTCTCAGGGAACTGGTGACGCCAAGCGTCCGTCAGGCGGCCAAAGCAGCGCTGGGTGGAGTGCGCACCCCCGCACTGCTCACCCGCGCGGTCGCCGGTGCGCAGGACGTAGGTGCACGGACCAGTACCCCCACCCCTCTGGCGTGCAGTGTACCACTCACGGAGCTGCTGAGGGGAGGGGATGTCACGAGTGCGCTGCTGCTGCTGCTGCTGCTGCTGCTGCTGCTGGCGCTGACCACCACCGGAGCCGACCCTCTGCGCAGCACCACCCCGACCAGCTCCACCTCCTCCGCCGCCTCCTCCTCCACCGCCGCCACCTCCGCTCCCTCCGCCACCGCCGCTGCCGCCTCCGCCTCCACTGCCGCCTCCGACACCTCCACCCCCGCCACCACCCCCACCGCCACCCCCACCCCCTCCACCGCCCCCACCGCCGCCTCCACCGCCCCCGCTAGCTCCTCCAGCGCCCCTGCCCCCCTTGCCCTTGCCAGGGCGGCGTCTCCCGCTAGGGGTAGACGCTGCCCCAACCGACTCCAAACCAGCGAGGTCGGCCGCAGCAGCAGAGGCAACAGAGGGCAAAAGAGGGGAGGGGGAACACCCCTCAAAGATGGGGGTGCGAGGGTCACCACGAGAGGCTCCTACAGCGACTATGCTCTTTTCTGCTGCTAGGAGGGCCCTCTCGAGGAGGTCAACAGTGAGAGTGGTGGGGCAAACCGAGAGGAAGTGGTCCCTGACTACGCGAAGGGAGTCAGGGAGACGGGTGACTATGTAGTAGAGGGTGATGTACATGGGGGGGGGGTTCTTGGCGCAGAACTCAGCAGGAAGCGCAGCACGGTAGCGAGTGTCACTAGTGCGGAGGTGCGTAATGAGGTCAGCGACTGTGGGAAAGGCAGCAAGGTCAGGGAAGAGGTACGGTAGCATGAGGCGGCTCAGTGCAGCAGTGGCAGGGGAGGAGTAGCGTGCAACTACAGCGTCGTACAAGGTCTGAGCACTCTTGTACTGGCTAAAGTGCGCACGCTCAGAGGTAGGCAGGTGGCGACGCACAGCAAGACGTGCAGCAGCATCGCGCGTGGCCCACTGTGAGCGAACAGTGGCGTCAGCATCAGCAGCGGGGGCAGGAGAGGCACCAGAAGTTAGGTCAAAGAGGGAGAGGCCGTCTGCCCTATCGCACTGTAAGAAAAGCTGCAGGTCATCTATCCAGACTTCAAAGTCAATGGCCCGACCCTCAGCGTCAAAAGCGAGGACACTAGGGGTAGCCATGACATCAGTAGACTAGTAGCGCAAACAGTAGGGTGAGGGCAGTGCTGTGAGAGAGGCGCTGCTCTTACCGGACAGGGCGGCTCGGCTGCAGGGCGGCTCGGCGACTCGGCGGCTGGGCGGCTCGGCTGCAGGGCGGCTCGGCGACTCGGCTGCTCGGCGGCTCGGCGGCTCGGCTGCTGGGCTGCTCGGCGGCTGGGCGGCTCGGCTGCTGGGCGGCTCGGCTGCTGGGCGGCTCGGCTGCTGGGCGGCTCGGCTGCTGGGCGGCTCGGGTGGCTCGGCGGCAGGGCGGCTCGGCGGCTCGGGTGGCTCGGCAGCAGGGCGGCTCGGCGGCCCGGCGGCTCGGCTGCTGGGCGGTTCGGCGGCCCGGCGGCTCGGTCGCTGGGCGGCTTGGCGGCTGCGGCTCCTGATCAGGGACGGCGGAGGGGCCGGTGGGAGGCGGCGTCGGAGCCGGGAAGGGCGGCGCCGGGGCCGTAGGAGTAGGCGCCGGGGTCGTAGGAGCAGGGGCCGGGGCCGTAGGAGTAGGCACCGAGGCCGCTGCAGGGGAGGGCGACGACGGGGCCGCAGGTAGGGCGGCGACGGGGCCGCAGGTAGGGCGGCGACGGGGCCGCAGGTAGGGCGGCGACGGGGCCGTAGGTAGGGCGGCGACGAGGCCGCAGGTAGGGCGGCGACGGGGCCGCCGAAAGGGGCGGTGACGAGGCCGCAGGTAGGGCGGCGACGGGGCCGCGAAAGGGGCGGCGCGACGGGGCCGCGAAAGGGCGGCGCGACGCGGCCGCGAAGGGCGGCGCGACGGGGCCGCGAAAGGGCGGCGCGACGCGGCCGCGAAGGGCAGTGCGACGGGCCCGCGAAGGGCGGCGCTAGGGGGCCGTGAGGGGCCTAGTGAGGGCGCGACGGTGATGAGAGCACACCGGGCGCGACTCGGGCCGGAGCAAAGCGCGCTCCGGGCAGGAAAAAAAAAAAACTCGTAGTGGTGGGCCCTAGGAATCGTTCCCGTTAGGGAACCTGCTCGATACCATGAGAAGAAACAAGGGATGAATGAACTATGAATGAATTGGGTACAAGTACTAACCCTAATTGGGTTGTACCCCTTATGGACTACCCCACTATAGCCTACACAATATGCATGAGCTATAATGTTCTGACACCTCGGTCTGGCACTGGTCAGTGGTGTCAGAACTTATATTTGTAACTGCCTGTAGCTGTAGTTAGTGTAGTTATTATAAACTTTGTTTGGTGGTGCACCTTATTTGTTTCCTTTGCTATATGTTCTTCGAAACCTATAGTGAAACCATCCTTTCCAACTTTCTCGACTCTCACCCTAGGCACAAACTACTCGACATCCTAGTTGGGCCTAGGCTCCTAAGCCTAGGCCCTAGTTAAACTTGATCATCCCTCGTTTCTTCTCATGCTATCAGAGCGAGTTACGTCCTGGCCTGTGGGCCCGCCTCATGCTTCCGCTGCTACGTTTTTCCGGTCGCGCGCCTAGGGCGCGTGGCGATTTTCTATTGTCCCGCCCCCGGTTGGCGAGTGACTCCTACTCTGCCCGTCGCGCGCCCCGTGGCACGCGACGGTGCCCTAAACCTGCCCGTCGTGCGCCCCGTGGCACGCGACGGTGCCCTGCTCGTCGTGCGCCCCGAGGCACACGACGGTGCCCTTACCTTAAACTTACCTGTCGTGCGCCCCGTGGCACGCGACGCGCCTCTCCGCACCTGCTCTCACTGCAGCCGCCCCTGACCTACCTGCGCCGACACATTGTAGTCGCTCTGCGGCTTTCTTCCCGCCCACCCCCTCCTCCTTTGTCTCCCTGCAGCCGTGGGGGGGAGGGTATGGGGGTGGCGGGTGTTGGAGCGTTGGGTCGTATCCTTCCCTTCCCCTCCTCCTCCTTTCGTTCCCACTGCTGCAGCTGCCGCTGGGGGGGAGGGTGTGAGGGTGTGGGGGAGACGGGGGAGTGGCACCGGGGTGGCGGGTGTGAGGCAACCAGCAGCCGTCCCTCCACCTCTCCTCTCTTCCCCCCCCTCTCTGCTGCTCCTGCAGCAGTGTGGGGGAAGGGAAGGAGGAGGGTGAGGAGATGGAGGGGGTGACCAGCTAGTGTTAGCCCGCTTGCAGTACCTGCTGTTGCTTGTTTATTATTTTGCATGTGTACCCCTGCAGGTTGTATTCTGCACAAACTCCTGATGCAGGCAGTTATGGGGGAGTGTCAGAACTTATATTTGTAACTGCCTGTAGCTGTAGTTAGTGTAGTTATTATAAACTTTGTTTGGTGGTGCACCTTATTTGTTTCCTTTGCTATATGTTCTTCGAAACCTATAGTGAAACCATCCTTTCCAACTTTCTCGACTCTCACCCTAGGCACAAACTACTCGACATCCTAGTTGGGCCTAGGCTCCTAAGCCTAGGCCCTAGTTAAACTTGATCATCCCTCGTTTCTTCTCAAGTGGCGCGTAAAATTCGCGCCACTAGATGAGGAAGGTGGGGCTGGGGGTTCCATATGCGGTTGGGAAATTTCTTGTTTTGGGGATTGAAGTTTCGCGGACCGCATTACGCCCAGACCTCTTGGGCGAGTTTCGACCCCGGTTCCGGATGCGGTCACCATGCCGATGCCGCCAAAATGCCGTCGTTTTCTGAGTTGCTGGCGAACACCGCCACTATGGCATCGCAGGGGGATGGTTTTTGCCAGGGGTGGAAACTGAGAACCCGTTTCCATATGCGGTCAAGCATTTCGACATGGGTAAAAATTGGGGGCGTTTGCCACGCCCTCACTTTTCTAAGAGGTTCGGACGTCATAAGAGGCTCGGCAGCATTTTTACGGGCTGACCAGGCTGACGGAGGTTAACGAGCCCTAACTGACGAGATCAGGAAGGCGAGACTTACCTTCCTGATCCCGTCGTCATCCCCTCGTTTTTGCTTAGAAATGTGCTGGCGAACACCGCCGAGTGTGAGTGACCTGTCTGCCTGGTTGGGAAGAGAACTGGAGTCAGAGAGTCAGCTCACAGTCACCGCACGGAACCCATACGTATTCCGCGGAACCGTAATTTCCCGAACCGCAAGCCCGGCGAAATGGATTGAATGGCGGCAGCTTCGTCACGCGCCAACTGCCACACCTGAGGGAATTACCTGTGGAATCCACGTCAGTTGCTCCACGTCTCCAGTACTGGCCGAAATTTATTGGCTGAATTGAAGATCTCGTCACCACCCCTGGACTCGCGACGTCAGAGACTAGGAACGCCACGTGGTGATGGTCTGCGTGGCAGTGGAAAGCCGATCTGGCGACAACCGTGTGAGGCCGATGTGCTGCCACGAAACGGAATCCTCGCCAAGCGAACCTGGCAGCGGATGGCGCGTTCGAAAATCATTTACAGGTAACTCGTTTTCGCGATCCAAGAGACCCTCACACATTCAGGACGGATTCGTTACACGTGTTAGAGTTCGCCAATGAATAACGTTTTCAGAAATTAACTGCGAGTGTGCGAGTCTTGCACCAGAAACCCCTCAACCGCGGACAACCATCAACGTCATTCCTTTCGCACCCACCGCTGTTCTTCCTGAAGTCCGTCCATCGCCATTTTCCCAATACTCTCCTGTCGCGTCCCGTTACCCCACCAGCACCTCGCCAGAATCGTTTTCACGCGTCCCGACGAGCCATGGAGGTGCGAGTAGTGCAGTCAGCGGCCACCACCGCCAAACCCGCCGAATCTATCGCCACCTCCTCGTCTGATGCGCGACCGACTTGCACGCAGCTCGCGGCGATCACGCCGCCCGAAGCGGCGGCCCTCGTGCCCAAGGAGGACTTTTCGGACATTGAAGAGACGCGCGTAGGTTCCTCTCACCTTCGCGTCCGCCTCTGCCACGCCTCCCCTTCTCCTCTCCCTTCCCTGTCTCTCATCCCCTCTCACCTAATCTCCCCTCTTCGCTGCTCGTCCCTGTCGCCGCCGCTCCTCGTTGCGCCGTCCTGCCGTCTCCGCCTTCCTCTGCCCCATCCTTCCCTCCGCGCGTACCTCCCGCTCACGACTCAGTCAGCGCGCACGCGCCTCTGTCTCTCTGCGCCTGCGTCCCGCCCCTTCGCCTCCCGTCGTTCCCTTCCCCCGCGCCTAATCCCCACCGCCGGTACCCTCCCCCCTTGCCCTCACACTCCTTCCTGCCATCCGGACATCCTGCCACTGGGCCGCTGTTTCCTTTTGCCACGTTGTGTCATCCATGATCCATGCAACGCAGTTCTGGGAGGACGAGGGCGAGGACGTGGAGGGGCGCATCGTCGTGCGAATCGTCGGCAAATACCTCCCAGGTGACAGCCACTCGCTGCCCCCCACATGGCGCCCACTCGTTGCCCTTGACCTTCTGGTGACACTGCATGTCCCCACTAGCCTCTCCGCTTCTGCCCCTCTCCAACCTTTTTCTCTCTTTCCTATACTCTGTCTCCCCTGCTCGTCCATCCCCTCCCCACCCCATCCTCCCATCCTCCCATGAACACCCCCCTTCCCACCCCCCACTCCTCCCGCCAATTCCCCCTCAACAGCCCACGTCTTCCCCACAGACCACGTGGAGCGCTACATTCATTATAAGCTACACGAGATCTTCTCATTGGCCGGCCCCGACCGCCACGTCAGCATCCTGTACATCCACACGGAGTGCGAATCCCTCAACGACAACCCTCTCCTCGCCTTCCGAGACATCTTCCAAGGCCTCCCTCCGAACCTGCAGCAGAGGGTCGGCGCGGTGTACATCCTACACCCGAGCCTGACTCTCAGGCTCGGGCTCTGGTTGCTGTCCCCATGGCTGAGTGACAGGTGGGAGGGGAAGGGTATGCAGGGGGCTTGAGTGACAAGTAAGAAGAGGAGAGGGGGGAAGGGGGGGTGGGGGGGAGTCTCTGAGTCACCTCACCATTGCCAGTATAAAGGTGCGGTTAGCCATTCCTAATGCTGGCACACACACACACTCACAATCACACTCACACTCACACACACACACCACACACACACACACATACACCATTTGAGTTCAATTTCATCCTCCCACCACCCTCCCTACTTGCCCCCTCTGGTGTGTGTGAGCTGGGTGGAGTTCCTATGGGAGCACATACAGTACGGGAGGAGCAGGTGTTCCTGCCTCAGTTCTGCCTCCCGGCATGCCCTCTCAAGCTGCACCCACATCTCCATCCCTCCTTCCCACCACCCCCAGCCTGTATTCCCGCATGGTTTGTGTGAGCCGGGTGGAGTTCCTATGGGAGCACATACAGGAAGACCAGGTAGACCTGCCCCAGTTCTGCCTGCCTAAATTCCTCCTTCCCCGCTCTCCCACCACCACCACCCCCCTCCCCTCCAGCCTGTATTCCCGAGTGGCATTTGTGAGCCGGGTGGAGTTCCTATGGGAGCACATACGGGAAGACCAGGTAGACCTGCCTGATTTTTGCATGGCGCACGATGGCAAGCTGGAGGCGCACCCGCTGCTGGACTATGGCTTCCAGCTCGATAGAGTAGCGGCCGGGCAGCACCTGCCCGTGGGGCTCTAGCTCAAAAGCACGGGGTTGGCTAGGGCATACGGGGTGACAGGGCTATGGCAAAGCAGTGTGGTGAGGAGGGGTGCTTCTGCCTGGAGCGCGACTGCAAGCTGCAGGGCCTTCTTGCTTGACCACGGCTTCCAGCGAGATAGAGTAGCGGCCGGCCAGCACCTGCCCGTGGGGCTGTAGTAGGTCAAATGCAGCAAGGAGGGTGCTAGGGCATATGGTATGGGTTGAGGTGTGCTCCTGCCTGGTGCACGATGGCAAGCTGCAGGCGCACCCGCTGCTTGACTGCAGCTTCCAGTGGGAATGTAGTAGCAGCTCGAGAGTTCATGCAGAGGTCCGTGGGTTGTGGACTGGGAACATACCGGTATGCACCATGTACAGAATCTGTCTTGCCCAAGAAATAAATGTTTATGGATAGCTGTGTCTATCTTGGGTATCTTGACAGATATACATATGGTTTATAGCTGCAAGGCAGGTCAATATAATTAGGCTGGGAGGCTACATGCTGCAAAAACACGATGCCTTACCATACCAGCGGTCAGAGCAAAGAAACGGCTTTACAGCCGACTAGATTAGTCTCAAGCCAGCAACACGTATGTGGCGTGAGATGAGGAGCTGCAGGAAGGCATATATCAACCCCAGCACCCCCACCACCCGCACCACTGGCGTTTCCCCCGGCAGTACCACCGCTGGTACACACATTGGCGCGAGCAGCAGCAGTAGATACTCACTCCTCCGCACATTTTCCCACATGAATAGGTTGAAGAGCACGTGCATGGGCACACACAGCAGCACCATGCCCACTGTCCAAGCCAGCTGCGTTACATTGTAACCCAGCGTTACCCAGCTCCACCCCCAGTAATACACGGCCGTGGCTGCTTCAGCTGTAACGGTTACCAGCACGGAGAGAACGAGGTAGGCGGAGCAGGCGAGGGTAAGGGGGAAGTAGCGGCGGCGGTGGGAGAAGGCGGAGGGGAAGGAGAGGTGGGGGTTGAGGAGGAGGAGGATGGGTGCGATGAGGAAGATTGCCCGTTGGTCGCTGTCGTGCTGCGCCAGGGTGGTGAGGAGGGAGAGTGCGAGCAGGAAGGAGGCGAGCGTTGCGGCGTTGCCCACCAGGGGCATCCATGAAGAGCGTGAGGTGAAGGTCGCTAGTAGACCCATGTGCCGCTGCTGGGGGAGGGAGGTAAAACGGAAGAAGATGAGGGATAGGATGAAGGAGAGAACAGGGGAAGTGGCGGCATGAGACAGGGACGGGGACAGGCAAAGATAGCAAGAGGATGAGAAGGAAGGGAAGGGGCGTGAGGTGAAAGCTGTTAGCAGGTTCATCTCCCTCACAGGACTGAGGAAGAGGGAGAAGAGGCTGGGAGAATGGGAGTGAGGGGAGGGAGATGGGGGTACAAGTTAGGGAGCGAGCAGTGTGAGAGATGGCGTGAGGCTAAGGAGAGGGAGGAGGGTACAGGAGAGGCACGCAGTGCGTTGGGCCCAAGTACCTGGAAAGACCGGTGCTTTGGAGCGAAGGGCGAGGTCTGGGGCAGCGCAGAGGCGCCATTGGCAGCAGATGGAAGGCCAGTACGGTCAGAAGAGGAGGAGGAGAGGGAGGAGGCGGAGGAGGAGCGGCGGGGCGAGGAGAGGTTGAGGTTGATGAGGAGAGCAGCGAGCAGGAAGTAGACGCAGTAGATGCCCATTAGTGCTGTGTGCGCTGCCTGCATGGGGGGGGAAGAGGGCAATGGGGAGAAGTAGGATGATGGGGAAGGAAGGGGGGTGGGGGAGTGGGGGGGCTGGGTGATGGGGAGGAAGGGGGAGGGTGATGGGGAATACGAGGGTGATGGGGAAGGGGAAGCGACGGGCTGTTGTGAGGTGCGGCACATGCACTGACCTAGTCTACAATCCTCCCACACGCTCACCCTCACATGCACATGACATCTTGCTGATTGCCCCTAGGCACACTCACACCCTGTGCACGGCACGCTGCGCTTCTCACCCAGCCAGCCCAAACGACCGTCCAAACCATCCAAATCGCCCATCTCAACCGTGCACAGCCCCACCATCACACCCACATGCCCACCCAGCCAGCCCCTCACGAACCCCTCACCTGTCGCCGCGTGTCGTCATACAAGTCATACTCCTGGCTCGCCTCCCCCTCCCCTCCCCCTGGCACCTTCACCATTGCACCCACTCCCCCCTCCCCCCTCCTCCCCCTCCCACCCCTCCACGAACGAACCCCTCACCTGACGCCGCGTGTCGTCATACAAGTCATACTCCTGGCCTGCCTCCCCCTCCCCCTGCACCTCCACCAGTGCCGCCCTCCCCACTGCCAGGTACGTGAGCGGCAGCAGCGCTGCCTGCACCGCAAACAACCCCGGCAGCAGCGGCGAGTGGGGGGGAATCCACGAGGGCGGCCGATGAGCCAGCACGAGAAACAGCGCCCCTGCTATGGCCGCCAGGAAGAGGAGAGCTCGCGGCAGCAGCGGCAGGAAGAGGAAAAACTCTGCCTGCAGATACACACCAGTAGCCACACCCATGCCTACTGCGTACCCCACCCGCACCGCCTCCACCTCCCCTATGGGGATCGCGCGGAGGAAAGCGGCTAGGCCGGAGAGGATGAGGGAGAGGAGCAGCCAGGCGGGCCAGAGGGGGCCGTGCGTGGGGAGGGCGTAGATTGTGGAATCGTCGGGGTCGTCCTCGTCGGGGAAGTGTGCCGAGTCCCAGAGAGCGCGCCATGCGGGGGGAAGTGGGGGTTGCAGGCACATGAAGAGCGCTGCTCCCGCTGCTGCCAGCGCTGCTGCTCGCCTTGCAGACTGAGGGGGGGAGGCGGGGGAGGGGGCCGGGGGAGAGGGGGAGAGGGGAGAGGGGTGAGGGGGAAAGGGAATGCAAGTGAGAGGTTATCGTGCAGATAGAGCCAGAGGGGGCCGTGTGTGGGGAGGGCGTAGATGGTGGAGTCGTTGGGGTCGTCCTCATCGGGGAAGTGCGCCGAGTCCCACAGCGTGCGCCATGCAGGGGGGAGGGGCGGCTGCAGGCACATGAAGAGCGCTGCCCCCGCTGCTGCTAGTGGGGGGAGAGATGTGAGGGAGGGGTGGGGATGGGGAAGGGGGTGAAAGGGAAAGAGGGTGTTGTGAGTGGGAGAGAGTGAAGGCGATGGATGAATCCAGGAAAAGGGGGCGGATGGGAGGGATGAGGGACGGTGCATGTAATCTGGGTTGAGAATGTGGTGTCAAGCAACGGATGGAGTGGCACGGGAAGGAAAGAAGAAGTGTGTGGGCGATTGAGGGTGGTGTGCAGGTGAATGCTGAATAGGCACAGAGCGGTATGTACAATGCGGAGAGAGGCGTGTGACATGCGTTCACTACTCACCATGGAGTGGGGAAAGTGGAGGAGGAGGATGGGCAGGCAGGCAGCGATGGCAGCGAGCAGCAGAGCGCCGATGAGCAGAGCGTGGGAGGGGCGGTGGCCCGTGAGGGACACGGCGATGTCGAATAGCATGAAGCGCGCATGCACCACTGCTGCCACTGCCGCTGCTGCATGCACCACCGCCATTCCCGGGCGCATGCGCGAGCGTGCATGGGCCTTGTCCCTGTGCGAGGGGAGGATGGGCAAGGGGATTAGGCAATTGAGGAGCGAACACAGGGCTGTACTGCCACATGATGTTCAGTCGTTGCACGCACTTCTATGCACGGTCAAGATAGGAAGCGATGGCACCATGAACTGGCGGACCCCCCTGCACTCGTGCCTACAACTCCATGTCCACTCACTTCACGTCCCCAAAAACTCACACGACCGTTTCTCGTCACTCTCCTTCCCCAAATCTGTCGCTCCGTCCCCTCCCTCCTCTTGCAACACCTCGGCCCCCATCCCACCCCTCCCACTGGTAGAGGAACATGGGCGGGGTGACAGCAAGCAGCAGCAGCAGCGAGGAGAGGGTGGCGCCAGGAAAGGAGACAGCGAGCATGGGTAACTTGGCTAATTTTAGAATTCTCAAGCGTGACAGAGCCATACCCCCCCCTCACCTGTAGAGGAAGAAGGGCTAGGTGACAGCGAGCAGGCGAGGAGAGCGTGGCGCCAGGCGAGGAGACAGCGAGCATGGGCAGCTTGGCCAATCTTTTAAAGAATTCCCAAGCGATTGACATAAGCATAGCTCCCCACTCACTGGTAGAGGAAAAAAGGTGGGGTGACAGCGAGCAGTAGCAGCAGGGAGGAGAGCGTGGCGCCAGGCGAGGAGACAGCGAGCATGGGGAGCTTCACCAGGTACACACATGAGGCCACCCACTCCGCAACCGCCCCTATCTTGTGCTCTGCGTGCTCACGTGCAGCCGCTGCACCGCTGCCCGCCCCCACTCACCGGTAGAGGAAGAAGGGCGGGGTGACAGCAAGCAGAAGCAGCAGGGAGGAGAGCGTGGCGCCAGGAGAGGACACAGCGAGCATGGGCAGCTTGGCCAGGTACACGCACGACCCCACCCACTCCGCCACCGGGCCTATCTTGTGCTCCGCGTGTAACCGCTGCACCGCTGCCAGCCCTGCCACTGTGGTGGTTACCACCAGGAAGCTCGGGTACACGCCCTCCTCCGCCCGTCCATCCCCGTTATAGAGCAGGCTCTCCAGCCTGGGGGGTGGGAAAAAGGGGCATGGAAGGCTTTTGAGACGTCGCAGAAGTCGGCTATCTTGTGCTTCGCTTGCAGCCGCTGCACCGCGGCCAGCCCTGCCACCGAGGTGGTTACCACGAGAAAGCTCGAATACACACCCTCCTCTACCTGCCCGACAGCCTGGGGGGAGGCGGGGGGGGGGGGGGGGGGGGGGGGGGGGGTGGAGGAGGAGGATGCATGCCGGGGAGATGATGGTGTGGGAAAGGGGAATGTGGGAGAGGGCAGCGTGGGAGGAAGGACTTGGGAGATTGAGGCATGGGAGGGAGATGAGGCGAGGGAGAGGAGATCAGACAGGAACAGGCAGGCAGACAGAGGAGAGGGATACAATGCGTGCGAGGTGCTTCCGGCCTTTGCCGTTAACCCAGGCGAAAAGCCACAAGCCTTTCAGAATCCCCATACGTGCACTCACCATGCGAACAGCAGAGCCTGCAGCACAACCAGCACCCCAGTCACTCGCTGCGGCCGGTGCAGCAGCGTGGCGGCGGGCACGAGCAGCGCGAGCAGCAGCGCAGCGAGCATCCCCTGGCAGATGGAGCGCAGCGGCACGCCGGCGACAGAGAGGGCGAGGAAGAAGAAGTGGTGGAGCACGAACCAGGTGGCAGCGATGGCTGCTGCTGCTGCGAATATGAGGTAGGAGGTCAGGGAACGGGAGGAGTGGAAGTGTGCCAGGTACGCTGCTGCTGTGGCGGGCGCTGGGAGCATCTGGTGGCGGGATGGGGTGAGATGCACGGGAGGAAGTGGGGAGGGAAGGGGAAGTAAGGGGGTGAGGGAGACGGAGTGGGGGAGGAGAGAGAGCGGATGGAGTGGAAGCGTGCCAGATGGACTGCTGCTATGGGGGACGCTGGGAACAGCTGGAGGGAGAAGATGTGGGTTGGGGAGAGCTTGTCAGATAAGGGGTCATGGGAGAGGGTGGGGTTGGGGAGATGGAGTGAGTCGCTTTGCCCAGTCGTTGCACGTGCTCCTATGCGCTTGATGTGAGACTTGCTTACTCGTGTGGCGTGTTCTTGGGGATTTGCAGAAGGCGGAGGAGATAAAGAGATGCGCACAGGAATGGTCCACCATACAGTTCCCAACCCAAGCCCTCCTATGGCGAACCCTTTGTCCCGAAATGGTGAGGCTGCTTGTATAATCGCACCAGCCTCGTCATTTTGGAAAAAAAGGTTCGTTAAAGGAGGGCTTGGGTTGAAAACTGCATGGTGGACCATTCCCGTGCGCATCTCTTTAATCTCCACCTCCTTCTGCAAAGCCTCAAGAACACGCCACATAAATCAGCAAGTCTCACCGCAAGCGCATAGGAGCACGTGCAACGACGGGGCAAAGTGGGTGGGGTTGGGGAGACATAGTCAGAGAGGGGTCTTGGGAGATGGAATGAGGGGGTAGGGGAGAGAGTGGGGATGGAGTGCGGAGAGAGAGTGACAGAGGGATTAGTGTGGTGAGAAGTAGTGAAGCAGCGCATATACGGGCACACTTGCATGTTACACGTATTGAGAGTGTTTTGAGCAGCCTGCAAGACTCACGGTGAGGGGCATGCCAAGCACGAGGGATGCAGCAACTGAGGAGACGAGCAGCACAGTCATGAGCACGGACGTGCCCACAAGCCCTGTGACAAGCCCCAGCAGGTGGGCGGCGAAGCCAAAGGCAAGGCCGAAGAGGGCGAGCGTGACAAGGATGTAGTTGAGGGGCGGCGGGAAGTGGATGTAGTGCGCGAAGGAGGGGAATATGACCCGCACCTCCCCGCACACCAGCACCACTGCCAGTGCGAATGTCCCGTTCACCACACGCACCTGGGAAGGGGGCAGGAGGGGGAACAGGAGGGGGAGCATGAGCGAGAAGGAGGGCAGGCAAGAAGGAGAAGCAAGCAGTCAACCCCAGCCCCTCCACGTTCCGCTCACGTGTCGTGCACCCATGTCCCTCCCACGTCCCTTGTCCGTCCCTGCTACGCACGTGTTGCAGCTTGGAGTGGTCGCGGACGACCCAGTGCAGCGCGCCGCGGGTGGACGCGACGAGCAGGAAGAGCACGGGCAGGAAGAAGAGCAGCAGATCATCGCAGATATCACCCGCTGACTCCATCCAACGGTTGCGATGCACCGCCACGTGGAAGCTCAATGGCAGGAACAGCAGCACGGCCACGTGAATCGCGCTCTCCAGCGACCCGAGAATGAACACGTCGTCAGATTCCTTCGCGCGGAGCCGCGGATGGTGCTTCGCGGCGCGGAAGGAGGAGGGAGCGGGGAGGGAGAAGAGCCAGAAGAGCGCGAACAGCACGGGCACGAGGTAATACGGCGCGTACACGATCCCCACGGAGGCGACTAGCCCCCAGGTGACGATGGCGACGGCGGTGAGGGGCGTGCAGGCGAAGAGCAGTCGTTCGAGTGTGAGCACGACGAAAGGGTGTTCGAGATGCAGCCATCGGAACTGCAGCGACACCCACACGCCGCACAGGAACACGAGGTTCACGGACGACAGCAGCACCAGCAGAGAGAGCGGCACCGGCACGTGCGGCGCAAAGCCGACCCCCGAGAACGCGATGGCGGCGGCGGTGGAGAAGAATGCCGTCCAGATGGCGACGAACGCGGCGGTTTTGAGCTGCAGCGCGTCGAGCACGTACGAGAGCATGAGCCCCGCTACCAGCGTGCCCACAACTACTGGCCCTCCCGCACCTAGCAGGACCAGCACGCACGGCACCAGCGCCGACGCCACCCGCGCATTGTACTGGAACGGGTTCGGGACGAACCGGCCATCGCCCGCCGATGCCGTCGATCCTGACGGAGACGGAGACGATGACGGGACGGGAAGTGGTCGACGCGGTGGACCAGAGGACGCGTGGGATGCTGCGTACATCATCTCGGCGGGAATGGCGGCGAACCGCTCCTCTGTTCGTAAGCGGCAGGCGAACCTACCGTGCCTAGTCACGGAGTCGGACAGCCCGCATCGCTGCTATACTTGGGAACCACCGCAATCCACTGTAAATCGCCGCAGCTCCATTCGAGAAACTTGCTCTTGCGATCCCTGTCGGCCTGGTCTCAGTAGTTCGAATTCGTCCCGAACCGAGTTCCCAAGGTGCTCAACAGTGATGGCCTGTCTAGTCTGTCGATTATCATTAGCTCTTGCTGTTCCTCTGTCCGTGCGGAACTGACTGCCGATCTGCGGCGCGCGGCGAAATCGATGCGTGTTTGCGGCACTTTGGCCAGGCCAGGCCTACATGATCAGCACTGGGGATGAAGACATCATTCGTTGGGCACCGTACTGCAATCCACTGTACAGCTCAAGGACTTCTCTAAACTTGAATTATGTTGCGACTTCAAACTATTTCGCAATGCCAACTCATCATTGGGCATTGAACAAGCAAACTTAATCTTAGTTCGAGATCCATATACAAGCACAAACAACAGTGCACACCTTCATATTTATTATAAGGGGATAAAGACCACTGGCTAGTCATGTGGTCAAAAGCAGGGGAGAAACTCTAGAACAGGGAAACACGAGGGGGACAAGGTCTGCAGGCCATGAAACCAGTCACCGCAGGGTTGAAGGCTACAGGCGGTTGGCCTGCTACCAAAAACGGTAGGGAGACGAGGCCTGTCGGAAAGCCCTGGATGAGCGGCCAGGGGCTTACTGGCATCGCAGGAACTGGAGCAGCCTGAAAATCTCTGGCTACTGGCAGAGTAACTGAAGGTTCGACATAAGCTACCCTTGGTCTTTTCGAAGCAGGCTGACAAGTCTCATATGATTGAGGCAGCTGTACCACAGACTCGTTATGGCCTTCAGCTGAAGAAAGCCCCGGCGTTGTTACTGCTGGGGCGTCAGTGACCCCTGAGATAGCATACGCGCTGCTGCACTTGCTCGCGCTCACGTTCTCCGACTCCTCGTTGCAACCCACACGGGAAAGTAAATCAAGCTCAACCGGTCCTTGGTCCATCCCTGACTCGTGCACGTTCTCTTCCGAACTCTTTTCGAAGCCATAATACGCGATCGGTTTTGCCAACATCTCCGCTTCGTTCCCCGCTGATTTTGCTTGAGAGGAAGACATCTCGCGCGACGATGAAGGAGAAACGGCTGATGTGCAGTCTCTCGTACCAACATCTTTCGCTTTGGTCCCCTTCAGCTTTCCTATCTTCAGGTGAGCAGCCGAGTTTGGGTCCACAAGAAGCTGACAAAGCGCTCCCTTCACAGTATCGATCTTTCGTTTTCTCTGCAAGGAGAAGAAGCAACATAAAAGCAGTGTTGTCCTGTTAGACGTTTCTCGTTGGAAACCCGAACGAAAGTCGCAACGACAGTAGAACCACGAACGGCAAGAGTAGAGCGCCTCGAGTGCCTCACCTCTTCTTCACCGTTCGTAAGCGCGAATGGCCGCAGACGCTCGGGAGGTGTGGAATTCTCTAAAGCGTGAAGCATGTTGTCTAGCTTGCGAACCTTCCGAAAAGGCCACCTCTGAATTCCGTGTTCACGACATTGCTGCTTCAAAACGGTGACACAAACGCCCAACTGGGAAAAAAAAAAAGGAAAATAGAAGGAACTAGATCAGCACCGGCCACAAAAATATAACAAACGGAAAACGATGTCGTGAATCGTGTGCGTACCTTGCAAGCAGCTTCGTTTATCGGAAGGTGAAAATGCTCCATGAGCTCCTGCAGGGAAATGGTTCGCGAGCGGTTGCCCGTCGGAAGCCGGACCTGCACAAGCAGATAGGTTTGTCAGACCATGAACCTTGGAGCACAGCAACCTCAACGGACTTAGCCGTGCAAAGTGATGCTTACCCTGCTTCCATAGCCCACGGTAGGGGCCTCCGGCTCCGGAAGAAACTTAGGCTGGCACATGGTTGATAACCAAGCGCAAGTGACGGTTTAGGTTTGATCAGCTAGAGTGCTCAACTGAGAACTTCGCCTATTCCTGTTGCTGAGTTGTGCCTGCTGTTGCGTGCCTTCCGTAAAAGAGGAAGCTAAACGTCGTCAGTCAGGTAGCAGACTCAGGAACCAGCAGCACGTGCTCCAGAATAAACCTGGGTGAAAAAGCAGTCCCCTTGGTTTCAATACGGGCAGACTGGCTAACGGATGAACACCAGGAAGAGCATTGGGCAGTGATGATGTGGCACTGGCAGCTGTGTACGTACGACTCACGCGGAAAGGCGAGGGCAGCCTAGCGATTCACACACCCCCGTCGTCCTGGACAACGTCCCTCCAACTGCCGCGGATAAGATGACACGGCGGGGCCACACTCGTCGCAACGATTCACTTCATTCCCTCGAACCGGTGTTGCGCGACTTGGTTGGATGAGGTGAGGACAAAGGGGAAGAGCGGATGGGTTGGGATGGGAGAGGGCGGAAGAGCAGGGCCAAACCGGAAGGTCACCGCCACCATGCGCGGTAGCACACAACCTTGCCCCACTGGTGGCGGTGGCACTGCCCGCACGCGGAAATCAAGGACCAATACCGCAACCGCCGCGCGCGACGGGCATTGCTGAGAGTGCCTCCTCGTCAGCAGCGTCTGGGTAGGAACGGGACGAACAACGACACGACCGGCCACATGAACCGCCAACATGACATCGAAAAGGCAACCTTCATCATTTTGATCCAGCGAGGCAACGTCGGGAGCTGGCAAGGGAAGCTACGCCAGCGGAATGTGTCCATGTGTCATCGTAAACCAATCAGAGTAATTCAGACATCATGTGCTGTTAATACAAATTGAATCGGAGATTCTGTTCAAACGAACCAAATCTGCAAGTCGCTTTATGTAGCCAAACCTTTTCAGTCCCAACCCATTACGAAACAATTGAATGTTGTGGACCCTTAGCAGAATAATTGAATGGGCAGTTATACTGCATACCGTTATCCTTTCATAGGGGATTTCATCCGAAAAAATAGGCGGGCGATTGATATATCATTTACTATTTAGCCTCGTCAATCTCACAGTGGTCTATATGAACGCATCACCCACTCATTCTCGGGCCTTTCAATTGTTTGAGCCACGAAGCAAGGGAATTTGCCTGACAGAGGCACCGACATGAAGAAACTAGCAGAGAAGCTTCTTCCGAATCTAATCGCTGCCAGGGTAGACATTTTCTCCTGTCATCGTCTTCCTTGGAGGTGTCAGCCAGTCGAAACAGGCCACAGCACGAGGCTTGTGTGATGGCTTTGTGCTTCACCAGCTCCGAAAGGCTCAGACAGCCTGGCACGGACCCACAGTGCCCCCAGTTTCGAGGTGACGCGCCCTTAGGCGGCAGCAACAACATCAACACACATAGACGTATACACTACAGTCATAAATCACTACTTACCAAGAAACAGCCACTGAGCCTTTATTTAGTACCGTATCAAAGTGGATTGTATTCAAGCAGATGCGGATTTGTGAAGACGTGCGCTTTGTGCATGTATCTCTAGTTCACACGGCTCTGTCACACTGAATTCTATCAACATCTATTGAACATGGGTCTTTTTCTTACCAATGTGAAACTGCATGGCCTTGTTCATGCGTATGGTATATGTTTCATTACCAGTGTGAAACGTCTGCCAGACCAGAGCCAGCAATGGACCTGCTCCAGGCTGACTGTGTCACCGCAACAGGTGAGAAGCTCCAACATAGCCTGGCATTCTCTGTTGCAGGCTTGCGCATTCCCAGCCAACTATCGGCTTCCAGAACCATGGCGCTCAACCCAATCACCGAGCACACGAAGCGGCTATTGGTATCGTATGTATGTATCATCTGTTGGAAACAAGTAACTTAAGCGCCTCTGTCGTGTCGAAGCACTAAGTTATAAGCGAAGCGAAACACAGCGAAGCATCGGCAAGTCAACCCTCGGAGGTTGAACAATTGCTGGAGGTTACGCGAAAGTCAAAGGTCAGCGACCTTTGACCTGACAAGTACAGCGCGACAGCAAGGACAAACAACTGACTCGTTATTGAGCAGTTGCCCGAGTCGTCACTGTATCGAACCGCAACAGCAACAGCAAAACAGTTATTAGTTATAACATTTCATATTCCCTTGTACTCTTATAAAAGCTTGTATCTCTTTGTTTTAATCAATCTACTTTGCCCTCACATACCAGCGCAAGATGGTTCACAACTTTCTCATTAAACGCTTCCGCTATTACATTGTCCTACTCAGAGTTTAGTCCTGTAAAGATCCTAAGGGCTTTATCAGCCCAACATAATCCACGGTAGCTATCGTGAGGGAGAGTGGCTGCGCCCACTATCCAGGTCCCCCCCCACCATACTCGACAACATTCGCTGGTTGCGTTGTTGCCCGATTTGAAATGCGGAATCAAGCAGAGTGATGCCAAGGGTTGCAGAGGTGTTGGAAATGCTATGTGATGGAAGGGCCTCAGACCTGTTGGGCTGAGAAAAGCCCTTAGGATCTTTGCAGGACTAAATTCTGAGTAGGACAATGTAATAGCGGAAGCGTTTAATGAGGAGTTTGTGAACCACCTTGCGCTGGTATGTGAGGGCAAAGTAGATTGATTAAAACAAAAGGATACAAGCTTTTATAAGAGTACAAGGAATACGAAGAGATACAGTTAATAACCGTTTTACTATTGCTGTTGCGGTTCGATATTGTGACGACTCGGGCAACTGCTCAATAGCGAGTCAGTTGTTTGTCCTTGCTGTCGCGCTGTACTTGTCAGGTCAAAGGTCGCTGACCTTTGACTTTCGCGTAACCTCCAGCAGTTGTTCAACCTCCGAGGGTTGACTCGCTAATGCTTCGATATGTTTCGCTTCGCTTCTGACTTGGTGTTTCGTCACGACAGAGGCGCTAAATCAATTGTTTCCAACACTCCCCTTTGCTTCTGGAGTGTCGCTGCTGGTGACGTGGCTTTGTCCAGTCAGCAGCATGCTGTCAGACTTATTTGCTATAGTCTGTGTAGGCTGTAGTGGGGTAGACAATATGGGGTACAACACTTTTAGGTCATCCTACTTGTACCCACCTATTTCCTAGTGCATTCATTCCTTGTTCTTTCACATGGTATAGAGCAGGTTCCCTGGTGGGAACGTTTCCTAGGGCCCACCGAAAATTCGAAAGTTTTTTTTTTCCTGCCCGGAGCGCACTTCACCCCTGCCCGAGTCGCGCCCCGCGTCCCCCGCCCTTAGTGGCCCCTTAGCCGCTCTCTCGCGGCCCCTCTCACGGCCCCTCGCGGCCCCTTAGCCGCTCCCTCGCGGCCCCACTCACGGCCCCTCGCGGCCCCTCTATCACGGCCCCTCGCGACCCCTTAGCCGCTCCCTCGCGGCCCCTCTCACGGCCCCTCGCGGCCCCTTAGCCGCTCCCTCGCGGCCCCCCCTCTCACGGCCCCTCGCGGCCCCTCTCACGGCCCCTCGCGGCCCCTTAGCCGCCCCCTCCGCGGCCGTTCGCGGCCCCTCGCGGCCCCTCTCGCGGCCCCTCTGCGGCCGTTCGCGGCCCCTCGCGGCCCCTCTCGCGCCCCCCCCCCCCCCTCGCGGCCCCTCGTGGCTCGTCGCGCGGCCCCTCCGCGGCCGTTCGCGGCCCCTCGCGGCCACTCTCCCGGCCCCTCGCGGCCCTGTCGCGGCCCCTCGCGGCCCCTCGTGGCTCGCCGCGGCTCGTCGCGGCCCCTCCGCGGCCCCTCTCCAGGCCCCTCGTGGCCCCGTCGCGGCTCCCTCGCGGCCCCGTTGCGGCTCCCACGTCGCCCCTGCCCGCCGCGGCGCCCTGCCCTAACCGCGCCCTGGAGCAGCCGCCACTTCAGCCCTGCAGCAGCCGCCCCCTGCAGCAGCCGCCCCCTGCAGCAGCCGCGCCGCCCCCTGACCGCCGCGGCGCCCTGCCCTAACCAGTGCCCTGCAGCAGCCGCCCCCTGAAGCAGCTGCCACTGCAGCAGCCGCCCCTGGAGCAGCCGCCACTGCAGCAGCCGCCCCTGGAGCAGCCGCCACCTGCAGCAGCTGCCCCTGGAGCAGCCGCCACTGCAGCAGCCGCCCCTGGAGCAGCCGCCCCTGGAGCAGCCGCCACTGCAGCAGCCGCCCCTGGAGCAGCCGCCACTGCAGCAGCCGCCCCTGGAGCAGCCGCCACTGCAGCAGCCGCCCCTGGAGCAGCCGCCACTGCAGCAGCCGCCCCTGGAGCAGCCGCCCCTGCAGCAGCCGCCCCTGGAGCAGCCGCCACTGCAGCAGCCGCCCCTGGAGCAGCCGCCACTGCAGCAGCCGCCCCTGGAGCAGCCACCCCTGCAGCAGCCGCCCATGGAGCAGCCGCCACTGCAGCAGCCGCCCCTGGAGCAGCCGCCCCTGCAGCAGCCGCCCCTGGAGCAGCCGCCACTGCAGCAGCCGCCCCTGGAGCAGCCGCCCCTGCAGCAGCCGCCCCTGGAGCAGCCGCCACTGCAGCAGCCGCCCCTGGAGCAGCCGCCCCTGCAGCAGCCGCCCCTGGAGCAGCCGCCACTGCAGCAGCCGCCCCTGGAGCAGCCGCCCCGGCAGGAGCCGCCCCTGGAGCAGCCGCCCCTGCAGCAGCCGCGGAGCCCTCGCCCTGCAGTGGTAGCCGCCTCGCCGTTGCCGCCGTCGTACGCCTGCCCTTCTCGCCACTGGTAAGACTGCCCTGCCCGTACTGCTGTTACTGCTGCTCTTGCTGCTACTGCTCTTTCTACTGCTACTGCTGCTTCTGGCGTGGCCAGATGCAGCTCCAGCGCCGTCCGCGTGAGTCCCTCACCCCCCAACAGCTTCGTGAGTGGTACGCTAGTTGGGGTTGTAGGGGTGTGTCAGAAGTAGTAGTAGAAAGAAAGAATGAAGAAAGGAGGATGTTCACTAGCAAGCAGTTGGACACATATAGCAAACCCTAATTGGGCTGTACTCACTATGGAGTACCCCACTGCAGGCTAGACAATTATAACATTCTGACAC